CATTCAAGAACTTGAAATCGTTAGATCCTAACGTTGTGGTTCGACCCACTGAAGTATCAATATTGGGAATTACTGGACACAAACTGCCTATACGAGGATGTTTTGAATTGCTAATAAGAGATGATAATTCCTCATACATATCTTGTGAATTTTTAGTTAGTGAAACAGGAATGTCAATACTGGGTTTAAAGAATTTGAAAAGACTTAAAGTGGAGTTGTCTTTCCTATTTTCTAAATAAAATTCTGATGCTTTACCTGAAGATTCGATAGCCACGTGTGCTAAGTGCTTATGACACTTTTCGCAATTCTTTGCTGTACGACAAATATCTGCATTTATCTCTGGCCACCAACACGTGAGCCTCGCCAAGGACTTCATTTTCTCAACACCTAAATGTGCACTATGAAGATCTTCCAGGACAGCTTTACGCAATGAGGGAGGAATAACAACCCGATCATTTAAGCACAAAATACCATCAGGAGTAGTGGATAGCTCATCTCGCTTTGAAAAATAGATAGGGAATCTGCGTTTCAGATTAGCATTCCAACCTTTCCGTATAGCATTAATTATACATCCAAAGTTTCTACGAGTTTCTCTAATGAGATCTGGACGTTGCACTGGTAAAGGTTGCACCAAAAAACAGTCTGAAGTATTAACAGGTTTATCTTGTAATGACTGTCGAGAAATGTAGTCAACATGTTGAATTAGTTTGGCACTCCTATGCTGAACCGTTTTCATACTTCCATTGCACTTAGCACACGTGGCTATCGAATCTTCAAGTAAAGCATCAGAATTTTATTTAGAAAATAGGAAAGACAACTCCACTTTAAGTCTTTTCAAATTCTTTAAACCCAGTATTGACATTCCTGTTTCACTAACTAAACATTCACAAGATATGTATGAGGAATTATCATCTCTTATTAGCAATTCAAAACATCCTCGTATAGGCAGTTTGTGTCCAGTAATTCCCAATATTGATACTTCAGTGGGTCGAACCACAACGTTAGGATCTAACGATTTCAAGTTCTTGAATGAAATAATGGACTCTATACTGCCTGTGTCCACAATAAAGTCATGAAATGAATCAAGCGATGTAAATAGTCGCTTTTGAATATGAGCATTACCTTTCGAAATGGTAGACAAAGATAAATGATCATTAGGATCAGCTGAATTATTGGAATCTAAATTACAAGCTTTAGTACTACTTGAGGCAAAATGAACAGTAGCTTTGCATACTGTTTGAATGTGTCCTATCTTACCACATCTAAAACATTTAGCATTACGAAATGTACAATAATAACGAGAATGAAGTTTTCCACATGATAAACATTTGCCAAACTTGGTCTCACCTTTTTGATTTCCTTTGTAACTCTTTTTTGAGACACCGTTCATATTTACACGAGAATAGGAACCTCTGTTAAACGAACACAATTTTGATTGACCCGGAGATTGTATTTCATCATGACAACTAATCAAAGTATTGGAAATCTTCATCGACTGAATATCAAGTTCATTCAACGCCTCGTAGTTAATGCATGCAGTTCTAACATCTTGAAAGGAACAGTTTGACATTCTTAACAGCTCTCTTTCCAAACTAGGTATGTTGATTACTGCAATTAATCGGTCTCTCAGCTGCACATGAAGTTGATCACCGAAATTACATTTGACAGCCTGTTTCTGCAATTCAAGAATGAATTCCTTAACATTTTGGTCATTTTGACGAATCATCTTATGAAATTTCGCCCTTTCACGGCATTCAAAACCAGGACACTTTACATGATTCAATAATAACTCCTAAGCATTGCATAGGGAAGTGAAATAGGTTTTTATGGATATGCCAAGGTTTTCAATAAGCTGTACGCTTCTTTTCCGATGAATGTCAGGAAATGAGCCACAATTTTATCATCTTTGACATCTTTCCTGGTCATACTCCAGATTTCAAACCTTTCCAAATAATCTTCAAAAGCTTCAGAAGTAGAATGAATATCTAACTGTTCCATTACAAGCTCCATCGCAACGCCAGTAAGATGATTAGAAGTATAGGAATCAAGAACTATGGGATGAGCACAAACGAATGTATTGTATTTAGAATTCGAAATCAAGCATTTCACAACAACAAGAAGTTACTAGTTCATTCAAAATCCACAGTTTCCTAGTTTCTAAAGAAAATTTGACGCTTTACTTGAAGATTTGATAGCCACGTGTGCTAAGTGCAATGGAGGTATGAAAACGGTTCAGCATAGGAGTGCCAAACTAATTCAACATGTTGACTGCATTTCTCGACAGTCATTACAAGATAAACCTGTTAATACTTCAGACTGTTTTTTGGTGCAACCTTTACCAGTGCAACGTCCAGATCTCATTAGAGAAACTCGTAGAAACTTTGGATGTATAATTAATGCTATACGGAAAGGTTGGAATGCTAATCTGAAACGCAGATTCCCTATCTATTTTTCAAAGCGAGATGAGCTATCCACTACTCCTGATGGTATTTTGTGCTTAAATGATCGGGTTGTTATTCCTCCCTCATTGCGTAAAGCTGTCCTGGAAGATCTTCATAGTGCACATTTAGGTGTTGAGAAAATGAAGTCCTTGGCGAGGCTCACGTGTTGGTGGCCAGAGATAAATGCAGATATTTGTCGTACAGCAAAGAATTGCGAGAAGTGTCATAAGCTGAAAAATCAGCATTCGAAGTGGATTGATTCTATTGCCGCCTCAACATTTAATGAGCTGGAGAGGGGAGTAGATACCTTTCTACTGCAATATAGAAATGCCAGACATTCGGTGACGAAATAGACTCCATCAAAGCTATTAAAAGGAAGAATTCTTCGGTCGAATATGAGATGTTTGGAGTCTGCAGAAGTTACATATTATCGTGGCAACGATCTTCGACCATCCACGGGGATCGTTCTGAAGAATGTCGGGAAATCTATGGTGCGACTTCTAGATATCAATGACTTAAGTACACACAATCGACATGTTGATCAAATACAATTCCAGGAACCAGGTGAGTCTGTTCCAATTTCGGTTGTTAATTCTAATGCTAATGAGAGCATTCTGGATAACACAGAGCCTTTATCCAATACACTGTCGGACAGACACAGGATGAATTTGAGAAGAAGACGTACAATTGATTACAGACACCTGGATTTTAATTTAAGCTGTAGCGGATGTGGTGTTTGAATGAACTAGTAACTTCTTGTTGTTGTGAAATGCTTGATTTCGAATTCTAAATACAGTACATTCGTTTGTGCTCATCCCATAGTTCTTGATTCATATACTTCTAATCATCATAGTAGGATATGAAGCTTCTTAGTAGAAAATATCAAAACTTTCAACATAAAGTATCTATGACTGAAAAAACTATCGTCTAACTCCAGAGTCAGGATTCTCAGCACAAGCATCAAAACAGTTATGTGGTATAGTTTACAGACTTTAACTACAACAACCATCATAAAAAAACACGTGTTTATAAATAGGTGTCGGTGCAGAGAACATCAGCTATAACTCACTATAGTAGGGAACAAAGAGGAAATCGGGAGGCAATAAGGTATTTAGGAGACACTACGAATAAACCATTAGATTGTATCACAAGACATGCTCTAACTTTGAACTTTCAAGGAAAATGGAATAGAGGAAGCTAAGAGTGCATGTAGAGATAATATTCTTATAGATAAATTGCGTATGACAATAATTGGAAAGGAGGGCTAAGGGTAAAAGTAAGTGAAGTTATCTTGTACGAGACCTATTCCCCAAGAAGAGTCACGTAACACTTGAAATAATCCAAAATAGATTGGCAACAGCAGTGCATATCATCTTCGACAACTATCAAATCTATATCAAATATATGGAAATAAGGCAAAAATGCTTTACCAACTCCAAAGAAAGGCCAGTAGCCAAAGCCTTCTACAAAACGCTAAATCCCTTCGTCCTCAATGGAAACATTACCTTACTATCCATCCGTCTCAAACCCTTTATCAGAGTTATAACCTCTGATTGTATTCACATTTCACGCCATTATCATGCCTGAATATTCAATTCTACCCTTTCGCATCACAAATGTTACATATCTCACACCCGCTAACACTGATTCACAAATATATATCACATAAATTACCTTAACCGGAGTGACATGATACTGACTTGTTTTTTGACTGATTGTATTTAATATTTGTATTTTGTTCCTTTGCAGTACTTAAAACTGGAATAATTTGATTTGTTTTTTCTAGAAGTGGCTTACACGGAGTCATGAAATGTCGGAAAAGTATTAACCTTCCTACTCATCAAGATATTGCAAACATATATTATTGTTTGTTGCTAAAAAATACTTAGGTAGCATAAACATCTTAAGATTGACAACTTTGTTATTTTGTTTTAATAATCACAATCAAGTGATATAACTTTTATGTATATTCAACAGTTGTCGCTTACCATTTACAATAATTCTTCAAATCAAAACTGAAACAAAAGTTCTTTTGCACAATACTACAAATTATTAACTCTGCTGCGCAGTACAGAAACCCATTGGAATAACACAAAGCCTCCACGAATTTGCGAATAATTCTATGTAGCAGAACCGAAGTTAAAGGGATGTCAGTAAGTATAGTACAACTCATTTTGACAATAGTACATGATAAAATGTAGTTATTGATAAAATATATACTAAGATACAGTCTAACACATATGCATCAAAAGTATCTACTAAAAATGGTTGAGATTTTAGGGGGAATTCTACTTTTTTTTGATATAGGAAAAATCAACTAGGGGGTAAGAACTCCAGAAAGCTATAATCCAACAAAAATAAATATCAAACAAGTAACACGTAACAGAATTCCATTGAAGTTATAGGTAAAAATAAATAAAACAAATATTCTGAAGAAAGATTATCTTAGAGGATGATAAAAATTGAAACTCACAAGTTAAAACAAAATATAGCGCAAAATAATCTAAATCATTCAACATTACTTTCAAATGTATATGTACATGTGAATGTGTATAAAGTTTATGCGATTTCAATTAACTTCCATGATTTTGATTGATCTAATTCAGTAGTAGCACTAGTAGTAGTAGTAGTAGTAATGATAGTCTGTTCATCGATAGACATTAATTGTAATTCCATTAAGTGATATTGTCGAACGGAATTATGATGACCAATTGTAATTGGTGTAATATTTCTTTTAGAAAGACTTCCATATACTTGTGATTCATCCGTTACACTTAGCTGACTTGTAGATTCATCCATAAATATTATATCTGGTTGATAAAAACAAACAGCTGCTATTGTTAATCGTTGTAATTCACCAGGTGAATAATTAAATAATTGTCTATGAATTTTTTAAATATGAATAGAAAATGAAGAAAAACAAAATTTATTAGTAATAAATGTAATATGAAATGTATTTAAGTTAGTTAATCAGTCAGTTATTAAAATCTAGATTAGAACTAGTTAAAGTGTATTTTGGTTTACATCGTAAAACTTCATAAAAGTCAGTCACAATCATAATCCACACAGAACTTGGTAATGATATGCATTGATTCGCGTTTTCACATCATGTCAACATAGCAAGAAGAAACTGTGAAGATAAATTTCAGATTGTTAGAAGGAGTAACAATATTACTGGAGGTAGAAAACACTAGGTATCTATAATATGATTAGGAAATAAAGAATTTACTGAATGAAAAATACGAGATAATTTTAAAACTTAAGATTTAAACGAAGACACAAAGAAAGTACCTACGTCATTATGATACATTTCAAGCCAGTAGACTATTCAATATCTTTAACCATTGTTTTACAATAGTCATGCGAACGCCGATATTCAAGCACCATAGCAAAAGACGAGAAGCATGAAATGAATAGCAAAGGAATAGACACATAATATATCTAACAAAAGATAATATTTAGTCTGAAATCTAGAATCCCCTCGTGATATAATTCATGTCAACAGTCAACAATTTGATGATTTAATCCGACTGTTCACATGTTTTCTTGATCGACTTTTTTATATTGACTAGCATTGAATATCAGAGTACTCAGTGGATAAGTGTGTATGATAAATACTTTGCATATAACAAGGGATAAATGTTTATGGTATCATTAACAGAAGTATTATCGAAACCGAATTACAGTAGAACTTACTATTTATTCTAATTTACATTAGTTAATGATGACAACCAAACTTAAAATAATAAGTTCCAAGTTGAAAGTATTAAAGTTGTTTCTTATTTAGGTTCAGAAGTGGATATATTCTTCATAATTTGTGAAGAGTTATGTAGTTGTATGCAAAAGGTAATATTAACTCTCTGATGAATATCAACATTGATATTTTTTGCTGAACGCTGAGTATTAGTTATTCATAATTCGGGAGTATATTACTAGATATTTTCTTTTATGCAGATTTATGTCAGCCATTTCACAGTAGGCTACTGTAGAATTCTAGGTGTAGTTATGTACGCTAGTCGTCAATAAATGACTGAAACACACGTTGGGCTAATCAAACATAAATCAAATGAAAAATGCGAGATACCGATGGGGCCGCTTGTTAGTTAATATTAAGCTTCACTTTTAAACGTGCCTTTATTTTCTAAAAAAATAAAACATATATTTATGACTGAGTTGTGCATAAACTCACGACTTGGTTAACCAATGTTCCATATATATATATATATATATATATATATATATATATATATATATATATATATATATACATTTAAGTATCAGACTCGAACGATCGCATAACAATAAACTATTGAACTAGACTGTATATTTGATAGTAAGTGAAACATCTTATCCAGCTGTTATTCGTGTTTATACACCGTCAATACCTGTCTTGTGATTATAAACAAATAAAATAAAGATTATACAGGTGGTTCATTACAAAACAAAGAAAAGGCACAAGTTATTCATCTATCAACTTACAAATCAAATTTATTTTCGAATTTTTCTGATCCAACCGAAAAACCACTATAACAAATATCAGTTAATAATGGAATTTGACATTGATGATTGAAATATTTACCATTATTATTTTCATTGTCATAGTATAATTTGAAAATTTGTTTTAATACATTACATTTTTCAAATCTGATCAGACGAAATTCGACTAGCAAGGTTAATGCTTTTTCAAAAGAATCCAGATTATAATCATGAATTAAATATCTAGAATTTCGTTTTCTCATTGAATTATGATTAGTCAAGTCTAGTTTTAGGTGAAATAAAATAAAAGACAATGAAAATTTCTTTATTTAAGAACAAAAGATGTAGATTAGAAGTTAAAATCTTGTTCACATACATCAAGGTTAATCAATATTTTAATTTGAAGAGAATAGTTCTTTAAACATAGTAACTCGAAAAATAAATTAACCAGTGATATTGTTCAGTTGAGCACACAAATCAACCGCACATATGTCCATAAAATCTCTCTGATAATTTATCTTGAATCACACAAGATGAGTGATAGCAATCAGTTAAATCTGGAACTCTAGTTTGATTCAACTTCAAAAACTATTAGTCAGATAAACCCACGTCCTAGAGTATTATTGTTTACAATGTACAATCATTTGCGGATGGAATTTCGAAATCAGTGGAGGCTGCGGCAGTAATGACCTGAAGTCTTGAACGAAAGTATAGTCTTAAAGCGTATGAAATAAGAATTAGTTTCGTAAAGATTGTACAACTGAATAAACACTACGCGACTGATGAATAACAACGAAATACGGTGAACTCAAAGCAGTCTGCTTTAATTGTCACCTTGGCTTTGTTTGAGGTCGGAAAAAGGAACCAATGGCATGAAATATTACAAATTGATTACAATTTAGGAAAATCTATTGCCTAAAGGTATTTACGTGCCATCTTTTAGCACAGAAAGAATTGTAGAACAAAATACTCACTTTTTGAATGATAGACAGGTGGACAGATATCTAAATAGACATCCTGTACACGAAACTGACAAAATTAAATGTTTTCTGTATCGATATCTATCAGCCAATAAGTTATTAAAACCTCTAATATGTACACGATCTCGACCGTAGCCGCTAGCTTGAAATGGTGGGCGAGCTTGCCTATCGTATTGACCCAACAAAGCTATATCGGCTGGAACATATGTTGCTTTAGATGCTAACATGTCAGGAAGGTCGGTTAAAGAACGGTAAGATTAAAAGAAGAAACTTAAGGTCTGACGGCAAAGTCCTACTACTAAGACTGTAGACGGGTGTAACAGCAGTAAGATTTATCTCTAGGACAGTTAGCATCTGCAGCCATGCTGCCTTCTAACAAGGAAGTAAGGGTTAGAAAAGGTCGATTCTAAAAATGTTACACCTCACCTTTAGTCATGGATTTCCGTCTCTGGAGGTAAGGGCCTTTCGGAAAGCTCAGCTAACATGCTAAAAACTTCTCATAAAAAGCCGTGCCTGACTGTTATCAAGCAGTTATACTTGTGCTCTGCGGTCACGCTCCCTGATCGCTAAGACCAACACTGATCCAACTTCCTTTCCAGGTTCCTCAAGAAATATTCTTCCCCTGTGTGGGCAACGAGGAAGCGACATCCGCCCTCATACCCCCAACATCACACAAGCTCAACTTGGTCACAATCAAATCTTTCCTGTACCTCTTAATAACTCTCTTGTGCACACGAACAACCCTTCTCTTATACCTCTATCACCTTGCGCGGTTAATGCTAGTGACTTTAGTACATGATGTAGAGGTATGCTGGAAGAAATCTAGAGGCGGTGAAACCAAAACGGTACAAAAATCCATCAGGTCATTGACAACTGGACTGAGCCATGTCAGTAAGTGTAGACTAACTCGTTAAGGTCCGTGAGATAATCGTAACTGGTGGTTAGAGACTTTGAATGACATGGCTCAAAATCTTTTGTAATGGCGCGGGTGCATCGCTTCTTTGAGTTCTCTCAAATGCTAATCTTCTGAATTCCCCCTGACCTCTATCGTTCTCTATTTAAACTTATTTCACGGGGATATAATTCTCGAATCAAACCTTCAGTCCTTAATGTTTTCCATTACCGCTAATACTGCTACAACTTCTAATATTACGCAATTTGAACTGACAATCCCGTGCCTTTGTGCTAATGTGGCATGGTGACTTGAAATGATGTGTTTACATAATGAGTTCTACGTTGTAGCTAACTGGCGTAGTAGATAAATTAACTGATCATCAAACTCAACTTGTTTGCTATTTATCCCAATCTATTGGATAAATCTTGATAAAACTTTTTATTCAAAAATTGATCAACATTAGTCAGAGAATCTAAGAGTCCTTGATGGAATGTATTGTTCATTTTTTCAGTCCTTGCTTTTCCAAAGTTCTCTGCTTGCACACTGTTTGTAATGAAATCTATCATAGAAATTGAACTAATCACTATAATCCACTAATCAAAAATAAAAGTAATGTGCTCACTACTAATCAACTTTGATACTGGTTATGAAGGTAGGTCATATGTTGTTAATGACAAACTGTTTATTCCGTTGTTGTCCTAAGGAACCTTGGAATGTATAACCAACCATGTCTAGACTGAGTAAGCTACCGATAGATAAGTGACATGGAGATATCACTAAGTTATATCTCAGCTTGATTAAAGTTAGAAATTCAACTCACTAGTTTGTGGTGCAGTATAGTGGCTGGGTGAAGGATTATGGTTATAGATCAATTGGAGAATTCTAGATTGCAAATTCATCCGTCCAATTTACCAGGTTTCAAAAGGGTCTGAAGCAACGATCACTCTGTTATGAGAACTACATTTGACAAAATAGAAAACATGAAACTATTAAAAGTAATTACTGACTTGTTTGAATTTCATTCAATGTCACAGTCCCAGCATTGATTCCAGTTGTAAATTTATTATCGAAAGAATATGCTATATTCAATAATAAATAACATAAATGTAGTTCTCTATGTATATTCACTAATATTGGTGAATTTAATTCAATCATGAAATAATGTAGATTTGTAAATAACTTGTAAAATTCATTATTCAATTGAATTGTAATCCATGGTATGTATAATTCTTGTGGAATAAAAACAATTTGTAAATTAGCCGATTGATAGAAATGATATGATGCATTCACTTCATTATTATTATTCATTGAATTATTCATTAAAACAAGACCTGGCCAAAGACCAGCTAAAACACGAAATAAAGCAGTTTTACCAACACCACTTGGACCAGTGATTAGTAGAGCTTCATGTTTTTTAATGGTTAAACATAAGTCTATAGAACAGAGAAAAATTTCAGACAATTAGAAAAATATCCAGTTTAAATGTAATAAATTGAGAAATAGTTAATTAGTTAAGTTGACTAGTGGAGAAACCTAGAATGCTTTTTAAAATCGCAATACAATCGCAATAAGGTTCAAAATGAATATGAACATGAAATCAAATAATCTAGTGACAACTGATGTGCATAAAATATGAAATAAGCGGGAAACGTATTTCACAATTAGCATGAAAAGAACTTTTCCTACTTTATATTTAGATAACAACTTCCATAATTGGATAGAATAGAATTGTTGAGGTTTCAGGTTTTTTTTTCAGTTCAATAATGTTGCCTGAATTTCCCCAATTCGTTCAAACTGCCGCAAGAAATCGTTTCTTCAAAACACAGAAACTTATATATATGTATAGTGCACATTACGTACTGACCTACGAGAGAGATCACCAGTGATAACCAGGAAATATTTGGCAGATATTTCCGGTGTTTTTATGGTTGTCTAACTAAGATTAGTCTCAGACGATAAACTTAGGTCTAAACAATCTCTACAAGCTACCAATAAGACGGAGTTATGCAGTTATTCAACTATGTTACTCAGCTTATTCGTTGCAACAGAATTAGTCAGGTGAACAAGCACAATTTAGAATTTAAGTCACTATTTTGGCGCACGAATGCTAACTACAGAGGCTCGTCCAACTTATTTGATAGACAATTTCAAATCCTGTATTTGAATATCTCTAATTCTAACTAAGTATATTTACTGTATTCAACTAGGGAAGCCTGCTTCTCTATAAATATTACCCGAGAATATTGTCCAAAATATTTTAGTCATACTCATCAGATTCTTTCGTACCAAGTAATTATTTTCGCAGTACACTGACTCAAAGAAAAAGCGATAATCCGGAAGATTTCAATTACTTTCGTTGTAATAAGGACATATTTTCATGTGAAATCATTCACTTTATGATGAAAAGTAATTTTATGTAACATTAGTCCGTATCCCCTTCCCTCAGTTGGTTTCGATAACTGCCAATTATCAAAAAGATCACATTTCTTTTCGAAGAAACGACACGGTGAATAACATGAAAACCTGTTTTAAACCTAACGGCCAGACATCTGTACTTACAATCATCTGATTTTCTCAAATCCCCATAATTGGCTGTTGTCGCTCTCATGAAATTGTTAAAAATAAGAATGCATTATGTGCGTTGATTCAGTTATTGGTCTAAAATTTTTATTTAAACTGTCCTAAATTCAAGCTGATATGCTCTTTCACAATAATATCTGTCAAATGTAAGGGTTTATTTTCAATCCACTGCGTATAGTGAACTTATTTTTCATACTTTAGAGTAAGCATTTATAGGTGTTAATTGCCATTCTTGCTGAAGTATAGGAAATGTATCGTAAGACAGTGGTTAAAGGTAATCAACAGGAAAACCCTCAACCCAGGCTTTGTGCTATCTGGTTCTTATCAATAAGGTGTGCCAGTAATCCCGAAGCGACTGATGCTCTTCGACAGGCTGTACACTGTGTCATACTTGTTTACGCTCAGAGACGTTATAACTGAGCTATCCGGGCCACGACTGACCCAAAACTGAAATGTAATGACAATTGACTGATTATTAAGTAGTGAACAATATCATGTATTTCGACCCCTTTTTATTGCTAATTAAATTCAATCAATGGCACCGTGTTAGTAGATCAAAAAGAAGCCAAATTATTAACATACCACGAATCAGAACATTATTAGGGTTCGATGGAACACATATTGATATATGATCGATTCGGAAAACGATATCATCTAATAAACAGTTTTTAACATCACTATAAATGACATCATGCATGGGGCTACACGAGAATAAGAGAAGAAAACAGAAAATTTTGATACACGTGTATTGATTGTTTAGTGAAAAAGAAACGTCGTTGAAACAAATTAAATGTTCATAAATCTAAGTGTGATATAGAAATATATACGAATACATGTCGCGAATTATTTTTTTCTAGGCTAGCGTTTTTTAGCAAGTTTGTTTTATACGGCATGAGATCGCTCACCACATGCCCAAACCTGCTCCTTTAACCGCGTTTGAGACCGGCAGCAGCCCTAGAGGGGGTCCAGGCAAACTGAACAGGATGAAACTGTTGAGGCTTCTTCGACATTATGGCATGCGAGAAAAGATAGTCAGCATCATAAGGAATTCCTTTGATGGACTAAACTGAAAAGTCGTGCATGGAGGATAGCTCATAGACTCGTTCGATGTGAAGACCGGTGTCAGGTAGCACTGCTTACTCTAATCATTTCTCTTTCTCCTAGTGACCAACTGGATTATGAAGACGTCAACATCTGCAGGGAAGCGCGGGATATAGTGGACAACTGAGATGCAGCTAGTCGAACCTGATGTGGGAGAGAACAAACCAAATTCTAGTGGACGAATAAATCAAGAAGAAGAATTGGAAGTGGATAAGATACACATTGAGGAAAGAACCCAACTGCTTCACTAAAAAAGCCTTCAGTTGGAATCTTCAAGGCCAAATGGAAAAAGGAAGACCAAATGAAACATTACACTGAGAATCGGAGACAGAAATGCGAAGAAGAATGTACAATTTGATAGAACTAGAAAGAGGCCCAGGACAGAGAAGAACGGATAATGCTGGTCGGCGGCCTATGTTCCACCTAGGGTAACAGGTGTAAAAACAAATAATACGTATCTTGAATTACACACACAAATGGATGATTTAGGTATGTGATTTTCAAACACTAGATCACAGATTGACAATAGGCATACATAGCGTCCTGTCTCCTTCCAAATTTTGAAGCTTGTCAAAAACCTTGGAAAGTGTTTTATGTACTGAATCAGATATCACATCATACTATTACAACCGGCCAATAACAAAGATTACTTCCAGTTAGTACAATAGATTATTGTAGCTAATGGTATGTATTAATCCGATTGAAAGTTAATATAATTTTTATTGAAAAACAAATCCTAATAACATTTTCGTAAGCTATAAACACGCTCTATTAAATATTGTTAACTTGACAGTAATAATATTTCATGAGCGTCTTACGTAAAAAGCAGCTGACTCGACATTATTAGCAAATGAGGGTCTAGCAGATCGATAAACCACCGAAAATCTTCACAGGATACCAGAAAACAGATTATCTCATTATGTTCAACAATAAAAAACATACCAGAAAGTAGCACAAACATTTCAGATCGCCGTCACTCACACGAGAACAACATTCATTTCAGCTCATTTTATACTCACTAAATGATAGATATAACAGTAAAAGAAGACTAATCCAACACTATTAGAGAAATAAATTTCATCAAATGAGATAGACACTACGCTGTATAAAATGAACACTAACTTCATTCAACCATACACAAACGTCGACTAGTAACAAAGCCATATGTTATACTAACATTCATGTGAATGCACTCAGACGAACACGGACGTAAATTTGGCTGAGAAAATGAGGAACCTGTGAGTTGGATCGAGTTTGTGGATATCGGATAATTTTTACAGTTTTGTGATTGAGGTAAATATCTGGAAGCATTAGACACCAACCTATCTAATTAATAATTAGATTAGTAAATGTCGAGAGGTTGACAGGCAGAGTTAGTAATGAATGGGAGTACTTGGACAAATACAGCTGAATGAAGATAAACAAAATACTGTCGACGTCAACTAGTTACAAACATTGTCATCAAAGTTTGATTGATTCAGTGATTATGGATCAAGTGGAAAGCTCACACAGCTCTACATGAAGTAGGCGTCAATCATGTTACCGACAACGATAATAAATGCTTGGCGATCAGATTTGATAATATATAAACCACCATTCCCTATTGCTAAACAAAACTTGCTAATAACACGAATGAATGAAAATAAAGGAGAATAGAAAATAATTCCCCCTTAATCATACCTGATTATTTTCGGTTCAACAAATAACCATTGAGTATTATAAGATGCAATATAAGCAGCTGGTGTATGATATGAGTCAACCTCTCCTAAATATTTGTCCAAGTTAACAATACTAAATAAGAAAAGTACATGAAAATTAAATTGCTGATTAAAAAGAAAATAAACAACTGAAAAACAGTAAAACATTATTTCATTTATTAAGATTTTAAACAATAGATATTTCCATATTTTAAATTGTGACTAACTAGCGAATTATAATCAGAAAACAAAGAGTATTGAAAATTTTTCACACTAATTAGATGAAAATTATGAATTCGATAATGATGAATACTCATTATTTTTTATATTTAAATTTCTAGTCTCATGCTGAGAGCGGAAACTATTTCACAGATAAATGAGTTGGAACCTTCTGGTTAATCAATCAAATTTCCACCAAGGACAATTTACTACATGGAATACAATTTTCAGGTAATATTACTGGTGGAATTACTGTATATTAACATTACCTACTTGATTAGAGACACACTAATGACTATGTGGTTTTCTTCAATGAAAAAATTTGAAAAAATCAGCCCCGAATTCAATCAGTTGTGAGCATATGATTATTATTTATGAATGTGTTTTGCAGAGTTTGAAAAAGATTTTTGTTAAAATATGCCATCAGCAATGGAATTTTCAGTATGGGATTGTGAAGTTTAGTGAATTCCACTGAAATTATGGAACGATTTATATTAGTCCACCATTGAAAACCTAAAGTACTAGACGATCGTTTCTTCATACTATGGTACTCCTCAAAAATGCGCATTCATGACTATGAACAAGAAAACTGAATCCAGAAACTACAATCGAATTCAACAAACTTCGCAACCCTATACCTATTATTACCGTGTGCTCACTAGTGGCTAGCTTCGGAAGGAAGGTTTCGGAGCTCTAGTGATAAATTGTAACCAGTGGGTCTTAATCGTGTCTGGCGTGAGGCACTTACCCACCAAAGACAATGGAAGGTGGTCGCGCACTGTCGTGGACTGATTTAGGTTAGATTTTAACTCCACAATATGCCAGTTCAGTGGTTTAGGGTTTGCATGCGAAATCGAAGGTTCTGTGTGCGGGGTGATGAATGCGCGCTGTTAAGGATTGTGTGAACTATTGAAGAATTAAATTATAATTAGAAGGCTACTTTGCTATATTTCAGAACTGGTTTGATTTCGTAATGAATGGTGTCACTTGTTAAATATGCCTAAGACTTAGGTGTCATGTCAGGTGATACCAGCAAACAAGTCCTATCTGGAAATTATGAGGTCATCGATCTTTGTTGTGAGATTAGAACTGATGTTATCAACTATCACAGTTTGATGCTGTCACTGAGCTATTACGAATTTCTTTCGGATACCTTCAATCATTTAATTATTTAGGCTTAGAACGAAATGTGAATCAACAGAAAAGGCTAATACATATACAGATGAAATCACTGAATATTTTAACATGTTAAATAGGAACAAGATAATCAAATCATTATCAAAAAACGTCAAACTAACACGTTGTGAGTTAAATATAGAATATAATTTGATGACGGAACAGAATTCTGATCGACTGACGATATGCAATCGTTCTCAAACATTACTGGTCAATTCAGAGCTAATAGTGAACTTTGAGTGCCATTTTAAGGACTGGCTTGGTTCAGCACATTAACTAATAATAGAGAAAGGAATAATTGAACATTTCGAGCACTTCACTTATCGTGGGAGTCTCATCAGTACTGATGGTCTGGTATCGGGCGAAACTTCCTCAAGGATATAGAAGGCTCAATTTCCGTCAACTTAAGTCACTTGTGAAATAGGCGGGATATTCACCTGACAAACAAACGACGACTTTGACAAGTATCAGTTCGTTCTGTTCTAATTAAGGATAAAAAGCATAATCACAAAGAATAGATATTCTTTGGTTACTAGTTATTAATCACAGGTGTTTTAAAACCATGGCTTGCATATTTTGGGACCATCAAGTTAAAAGTGTCAAGATTGTATGGCGAATCAGTTGACAGGGTAGTGAATATTTATCGACTGAGATGGTTAGGATATGTGTTACCGTGAATACTCTTAATACTCCAACTACTCTGGGATTTGCCCTGACAATTTCATTTCACTGTGCTAATGGGGTACGGAACTTGAACAGATGTATATTTGTGCAGGTTCTACGATGACTATAGCTGACTAAGAAGATAACACCAACAAAAACTTTTAGAAGACGAGAGTTTCCCAGATTACTTAAATGCCGATATAATTAATACATAATAATTAAACCTGACTTCTGTTTGATATATTAGAATTTATAAAACTCAACCGTTAACATCATGTTGTAATGGTTTCTTTTTATCTAGGATATTTTTTAACAGCTGAAAGAACATTTTATCGCAATATATAGTTTTATACATTCTTTATAAAATTTATACTACTGTTATTAATAGGGACAAAGAACATCATTCCCACCAGTATTAATAATGATGATTTACTGTCATCAAATACTTTTCTCCAAACAAAACTAAAAAAACTTCAGAACTACACTTTCAAGTTGATAAAAACCAGACAAACTGCTTTTTACTTACCGATGTCCAACACCGACTAACTGAGCAATATCAGTGGATAAATTAACTAGATTTGTTAATTTATTAATTAAATACAGAAGAAAGAAACTAGTCTGAAATCATTAGCGTAAGCGTGAGGTGCATGAAGGAAAAGAAAAAGAGGGTATTGTCTCAATATTTATTTTTTTAAAAACCTGTATAAATTATAACACAAAAATTAACATCACTTTTAAGTAATAACAACAGATAAGTGGCTACGTGGTTCTAGAGTTCAAATTTCAGCCACTAAGTGTCCCAGGTTTGAACCGCACTCCACCTACCTCAGTTTGTGCAGCCAAGAGGTATCATCAGTCGAGACACTTACAGTAGGGCTCAAACCAAAGTACCTCGTGGATGAGTTTATTATTATTAAAAAAATAATAATAAATTTGTAACTAGGTAATGGTTCACACATCCGACATTGCGTGTATTAGCATTCTAACATGGGACACGAGGTTTTAAATTGCTGAGACTAGTAGCCACTTCCCGAAAACATCGGTCACTAATCAATGACTAATCGATTAAAAATCCCTCAACTGTGGTCAGAGTATCTGCGGTAACATCTCAGACTGTGAACTCTAGTGGAGTGAGTTCAAACTCCACAAGTAGTATTTATTCTCTCAAAATTTTAGATACGCCTTGCTGACGAGTGCCAATAAGCGAAAAACCTAGGCTCAGTCTTCTGCCGACTGCGTCAAACCGCTTAACAGAATAAGTTGTTTTGTAAACTACGTTGGTATTTGGCAGCATACCTTTTCTAAAAACTTATATGCCAGGTAGTTTACTTGACTTTGAGCTAAGCAAACAGAAATAAGTGAAGCGGGATTTGAAACATCAACTTAGTGGCCGTAATTCGAGTGCCACAATAATTGAACCACTGAAAAGCGGAATGATATTATTTGAAAAATCATTTGAAAATGCAGAAAAAGTCAGTACGTTAAGGTCTTAGTCAAATTTCAAATTTATCAAGTGTACAACCAGTAAACAGGATTGAATCGAGGATATGCATAGGTGATTATAATATCTTCGAAATTTAAATTACAGTGCAAAATGTCAACTTTAATTCATTAATTATCCAGTACTGACATTCATGAATTACTGCCTCATTCTCTACGTGATGGGTTCCATAGATTAGCGTTTCGTTCGAGAACTCCAGACCTCAAGTAAACAAATAGATATTTCTTGATATTTAATCTACATACTTGATCTTTTGAAATATTTTACGATATTAAATTAGTTTTCTGTATTGTTTCGTTTATTTATTTACTGGATTTATTAACTTTTTAAAGACTATGAAAATTAAGAAGAAAGGTTTGTTAATACCTTCAATAAGCCAACAATAATCAATGTATAACCGAAATAATTATTTCTAATGAGAAAAAACATGTGGCCAAAGTACTACATGGATCTTTCACAGTAACTTAGCTTCATTATTATTGGAATAACTTTGCATTCAACAAGAGTGAATCATGAATTTAGAAGAACCTAACGGACTAAAATTAATTTTCTACAAGAACACAAAGAAAAACTGAATTGCCTATCTCAATTTCTTCCGTTTACTGTCAAACGGTTATTGAAGGAGAGGATCTTCAGACAAATGTTTCGTAGTTATTAGCACTCAGTAACAAAGAACTGATGCCAACCTTTCAAATATTCAGACCCAAATCATCCAGTCTGGTAGTTAAAGACACCATTACCACCTAGCTACAGCAGTTGCCAACCAGCACACAACCTAAACTCACGGTCCTTTTACCGGTTGCTTCAAAATATTCAATACCAAACAGAGGACACAGAGACATCAACTTACTCAGCCTATTGGCTACATTCTAAATGTGGTCAATAGTATCTGATTAGCATTAAAAACTAAATAATATAACAGTCATCATTAATATGATTACGAACAATTATCAGACGAACTAAATCTGACAAAACTTATCATACTACTTTATTTTACAACTTATGATTGGATAATACAGTGAAATGATATATATATATATATATATATATATATATATATATATATATATATATATATATATATATATATATATATATATATATAACTGGTCACGATCGACTAGTCATAGCAAAATAAATCAGTCAAGCACAATGCCACAGAATATTACAATCAATAAGGGGTTAAATGTTGGAATTTACAAGATATGAATTGTCAAAAAAAGTCTAAAACAATAACACTGAGACATTTTTCATCTAACATGTTCTTTGCTCTGTACTTACCTGACTAATAAGAACAGTAATTTCAGATGCTGACATTGTTCGAATAGGACCATTGAATAGAACAAGGCCAAGAGCTATATAATTCACTACACCACCGCAATAAGCATTAAGTTGTGTAACGTCTGGTAAGAAATATGAACATTAACAACAGTAAATTACATGGTGAAAGATATTTTTCAGAGAATAGAATGGAGATAATAAAGACTTTACCTATCTAGTATCATTATAGTCAATATGTGCAACATATTCTCTAGTGAATAGTTCAAAGAATTCACTAAGAAAAACCGCAAAAGTCTAGAAGAAAAGAGCACTTTTCAAAACATCAATATTACATAGGTTCATTATCATATAACACTGTAGAATTACATTGATAATTACAGCTTAAGAATAAAAAACTATGCATGCAAATTAATTAAGGTCTATATACTTATTATTATCATTAAAAACAATAAAGGATTAATTATAGTATATCTAGGTTGTTAGTCGGGTTACTGGCTAAAAACAATGATTGATAATAATCTTCAAAAGACATTATGGGAATAAGCATGCGTACTAAATAAGTAAAACCAAAAGCAACCAATTTCTGCTTATCATTTCACAGTAAATCTTGCTAAACGAATACTTGTACGCATGAATTCCAGTTAGTTAGTATATTCAACATATTGACTATTTTTTAACAGAACTGGGTTCTCTGCGCTAAGTGGTTTAATGTTCAAGCACTCATTATCTTTTTAGACAACACCATCAGCACAAACGTTAGATAGAAGTGAATTATTCGAATTAGTTCACAAATGACGAACAGTTTATTTTGTCTACCTAAATGTACAGTATAGACCATTACAGTATATACTGGATATGGTTGCTGTCAAGAGTTGTCCAGTTGTAATCCTTTTAAATTTTGTTGTTTCCTCCGCCCATTTGGTATAGCTTTTGATGAAAATTCTAAATGTTTGATTTACTGGATCAATTCCGATAAGTTCATTGATTGGTGATCATTTTGAGTTTCAAGCTACTGAAAATCTCCTTGTCTATCTATTTCCTCTCTAACCAGGATTTCGACACCCTCTTAATCAAGCGTGTATTCATAATTGTTAGTGTACATTGATATAAGCAGATGCTTGGTGGTGCTTGACAGCTGATTGGAGTTCGTTGAGACAAAGATTAAAAAACTGGTCCAAGTTTTCCGATAAACTGTTTCTTGCAGTTTGAACAATTGACTTTGTAGATGATATTCTGTTTTTCATCTGCCGTCATTTTGTCTTTAGATTTAATGAAAAGATCAGGTCAAAGTAGCAAGCAATGAAAATCAATTTAGAGATACTGAGAGGACAAGTATTGACAACGACCAATCGGATTCGAGGTCGATAAAACAAGCTGTTACTCACACCTAGAGATGTTGTCTATTTAGGCAATAAAGGCTTAGTGAATAAACTAACCACCTCACAGAAGTGATGACTGCCTACTGCTGAGGAGCCCCCCCCACTATAATGGAATGGCTGTCCAGTGCTTTCCGGTTTTCAGTGGTATATATATAGAACTTACAAAAAACTACTGCATTACGATTAATGAAAACTCGTATAGCATGAAATAGCCGATTGAATGAACTCAATGAAATGGCATTTAATGATTCACTCAAATCAAGAAATCCAGCACTTTCAACTGAGCATCTTAGTTTTGTATGAACAAACCTGTAAACAGAAAGCAGTAAAAACAAGTAACAATAAATCAATGAAAGAAATTTGTAAGGAAATTTTCAAGAAAACAAACAACTTAATAAATTAGTTATACATGTATAGATTTATTTCGATGAACAAAAGCAAGGTTATAAGCAGACAAGAAAACGGATTTCTTGAACAACCAAGTTCTATGTTAATATATTTTATGAAAAACTGGTTAATGAGATGATAGATTTCGTTAAAAACTCGAATCTAACAGCAAATAACTAAAATAAGCAAAGAACTGTTCCAATCAAAACAGAAATGTCAGCGTAAAGCCTTGAACAAAAATCTATAGAAGATTGAAGGTAGCAATCACTACACAAGAGAGATTCAATTAAACTAAAAAGGTAACGAGACAAAATAAGAAGGATAATGTTAGATAAAAGAAAGTTAAAGAAAGAGAAAAATCAGTGGTAAATGATACAAATTTTCAGTTTCACTAAATGAAATGTGGTTTAATGTATCTGCTAGCTCCAGAAATGATTTTCTTGAATATTGATGCTCAAGAAAGTTCTGGTGCAATTTATGCTGCGTTGCATAGATTATTATGTTCAATGTCTTTAGCTCATTTGTTCTGTGACAGGCATGTTTTAAAGTTTCCTCTTTATGTAATTAATTACTTTTGAGCAGTCTTAATTCAGCACGCTTTTGATCTCGCGTTATTTATCAGTCACAAAACACCTGATCTAGTACTACATAAAGTCTGTATTCGAGAACATCAAGTTGTAAAACCAGACACAAGTTTACGACAATGCAAAGCTCTATTATTTTACATTGTGGGTCGAAAAATACTTTAATATTTTGTGTAACTTAGTAGATGATCTTTAATGTCATTAGAATATTGATTATTATTTTGTTTTATATTCAATTACCATACACATTTCACAAATAGAAGGATTTTACGAAATGCATGGATAACAATCGGCATTGATTTATTGAAACAACATAAAACGTAATGAAATTTTATGTTGATTCTAGTTTGAACTATGATTTAAAATAATAAAACTGAGAGAATTAAGAAATTGAGAGGTCAAAAGATATGGAAAAAATGAAACAGATGGATAAAAATTGAAACATTTAGTTACAACCTAACAGAAAACAAAAAAGCAATGAATTTACTCATCATAATGGAACAACAAAATAGAATATTTTCAATAAAATTGTGGGTCTAAGTTACTCCTTCACTGATGGAAAGCTGATTTATGTACTTACCTATTGGTCAATTTAGGATTTAATGACTACGTGCATTATACAGCTATTACTATTGTGGTTAAATGGTGATAGAAACTTCAGATAAATGTTTTCTTAGGAACAACTTATAAAGATTATATACAAAAAAACGGAAAGATATTTAACATCCAGAATAATATTAGAATGAATAGTTACCTAAAATTTCCTTCTTGTTTTTGACGATCAAACGAAGCATGCGAACTCCAGGAGGTGAGGAACCGCGAAATAACTGAGAATATAATGAAAAGGATATAAGCAGAACTTGGACCTAACCAGCCAGCTCTGGAATAAAACATATCAAGCAGAAAATCAAAACAAATTACTTTTGTACACACATATATGTATAAAACACGACTAACATTGGATTTATTGTTATCGATACAATTACATTAGTCAATAGGTCACAGGATACATTAATATCTTGAGTAAGACGTTGATCACTATAAAGAAATATATCAATGATCAACTGAATTAAAGTGACAAGATGGTGATATTAACTTACGGGTTATCTAAATTGATCAGAGTATTTATAACATAATAATTTTTCCGTTTAAAATATAGACTTTGTAAATTCTTAGTTAAGATTTCACGTAATATTAGTGATAATTGTCCCGTTATCATGTTCTGTACACCCAATGCCTACAAGGAAAACAGATAAACAAAACTTTTTTAACTTTATACAAGCAAAGATCACTATTAAAAAATACCGTTAGAAGAAAAGTTGACTTATTAAGGAGTTACTGTAACAAGTTCGTAAAAACAAACAGCTGTTTTCATAATTAGATCCCCATATTATATATCACGCAAATAAAGTTCGAGTTATAAAGATATGAAAGTTAAACACAAAAGCAAGAAATCTGCAAGTATGAACTATTTCTAGACTTTGATTAAGCGCAAAATAACCTCCAAATCGAGGACGGTTGATCAATTCATTTCTAATCCTGCACCATGTAATACTGATGACACACTGTCAACTATCCCTTGCCAGAGCTTTCTACATTGATCAAAGATTTTCTAAAAAGGTAATGCTGATACGGCTTTAAAAGTAACAAGGAAACGTTACTCATGCTAGTAATTCAGTCTTTGTACAAAATCATACATCCACTAATTAAATTTTCGAAATCTGAAAGAAAAATGGCTGAAAACCGATCTGTCTTACAACTTTACACATAATTTTCTTTTAAATCTTTATAATCATATCTTTATTTTACTGAGTACAAATCTCTATTTGCGTTTAAAGTGATATCTTATTTCGGTTTGAACTTTTAGTCAGTGGAAAAAATACTTAGCATGTTTGTACTAGTATCTAGATGTCTAGAAACAAAATGCCTTTTTAAGAGGCAAGCTATTCTTGTTCAGACGATGCTGTTTAGCTAAATCGATCACTTTTTTATCAAATTTATCTTTCAAGTTGTTTACTCAAACCGAGGTTTCATTACGTGGCAGAAAGCAAAATATAAATATTATTATATCAGATAATATGTTTATATCTATATGTAGGGGGAGATTCTCATTTACTCATCTGAGAGCTACATAAAATAGTTATTATAATGATCAATATGACAGGGTTCAATATAACTTACCAAAGAACCACAGAGTATATACATAACTGACAATTTTAAAGTCCATATAAACCTATCATAGTTTCTATTAGTCAAAGCATCAAAAAAGTTAGAAGAAATTAATCCGATTTGATAAGCAGCATATTCATCTATCAAGAACAAGAAAATTATCGTAATTTCTTAATGTATTTTCTCCGAACTTACAAAATCCAGTGATAAATATTAGCAGGATCATAAAAATTAAAGGGCTAAGAAATTCTCTTTCTAATTGTCTGAAGACATATTTGATAAAGTGGACTGAAAAACGAAGTCCGAAAACGACGCTGATAGTAAAATTCAAAGAATAATCATTTTCAACAATGATTCATACCTTTCTTGATTGTTATTCATTTAATATCAAGCAATCTAAAGATAAACAATATGATTACTTAAAAACGAAAAGCAACATAATTTTATGAGTATTGGCAAATATCGAATTAAAAATCTATGTACTGCAGTATTGTAGGAAAACATAAACAAATTTTTGGTAAGCTTGAATTACTTCAAAATACATTTTAAAAGGTAGGTTGGTTTAAAATATAGAGCCTAAAGTGTGAGTTAAGTATAGTTTTTTGTAACTTTATTATGCTAATGTAAATTGCTTCAAAATGAATCAAGAATATGCAAACTTAGTTAACAACACAACGGAAGTCGAATATTTGTACCTTACATGTAAAGCTTACAGTTTAAAGACAGTTGGGTAGTAAATTAGGAACTGTGGAGTAATATTTTGGTCAGCACTTAAATATTCACTGGCGCTATAAATAGTACAAGTTCACGAAACGAACTTTCCGTAATTCCGTCATCATGTCGCCATTTGCTAGCCCAAGGTATTTTACATTTCCGAATAGAGTGATGTTAGGCTAGTTCATTACAATGGACAAGCAAAAAAGGATATTCTCCGTAAAGTTATATTCATAACAAAAGCTTTATCTAAGTGCACAACTACTGAATCCAGCTATATGAACAAGTCTGAAAGTTGTGTGTTTAAATATGAACGTGGATATCATTCGCTGGTTATCTGAACAACAGAAATAAGATAATTTCGGATCAGGAATTGTAAAATAACAAGTGGAAATAAATACTCTATGATGTACTAGTTTCAAGCATGAAACGCTTTAAAGAAATAATAACGACTCGGAAAAATTCTGCCAACAGTTTCATGCTAACAAACATAAAGAAAGTGAGAAAAAAAAGCAACTCAAGACAATGTGTCTTAAAGCACATATTCATACCGATGTGTACTCTTGGCCATTTGGGTTTCAAGAACTAAGCTCTTAGAATTTCTTTAGAGAGTTACTAAACATTATAAGGAATGTATATTTCAAGTTAGAAACTCTAACTATTAAAGATACAATCAACCAGTGATATATACAGAGAGCTTCATAGCTCTAAGCTAATTCAAATCATATAATTTAGAGTGACTTCGACCCAGATACATATGACATGTGTATTCAAAGCGATTGCTTTACGGATATAGCCATCAACAATATTTAGTTTGTTGTTGAAAACTATGAATTTTGATGTACGTCTACAGTCAGAAAGCACGCATTTAAATCAACGTTTATTCACTTTGAATACATTAGTAATCATCGGGTCAAAATTTAATTATTATGGGTGTTTTAGCATCAGGACCATATTTACACTGTTTAATATTCAACCGTAAAACCAGGGTTCTAATACTGTTATGAGTCCGAAGGAACGCATTATTACCTTATTTGAACAGTTATAAACTACTCTAGACTCTTTGTCTTTCTTCTGTACATTGTATTGGACGCAGCGCGTTGATTGGTTAACTACCTTGAAATATTGAGTCTAAAATCCTAAAACGCTCTTCATCAAAAACGAAACCTTCAATGTACAAGGGGTAGGATTTTGAGATAATGAAGAATAATTACAGCTCTAGATGAATCATGAAGGCTCTATTAGAAAAGCAGCTACAATAGTGAATATATATTGACGGTGAAAAACTCAGATATTTGTGAAAGCTTTGGTACCTAGTCACTTTAGATTGCAAACACTTGGAGTAAGAAGTATAGGTGGATGCAAAGAAGCATAAAGTGAATTGTTTATTATCACCAAAGCTAACGGAACAATGAAGGTCAAAGTGTGAAAAAAGAAGTGTATCGGTTAGTAATCATTGGAGTATTTCATGAGACCAATTAAATTTCTTGATATATCGCATACCCGATTCCGTGACACAATAAATCGTTCTCTAGGTGCGATGAACTTTTATCGAGGATGAACACATGATGGTGCACAATGAAAACACCTTTTGACAAATTCCCTTATAGGAAAACCGAAATATTTTAAATTGACTATGTAAGCCAATATAGAGCTAAAGAGTAAGCTCACTCAAGAAGATGTGCTACCGTATCCTCCACTCGCTTTGATAGTAGACGCTTCATACAAGCAACAGGTGGCGTCCTTAACGGACTAATTAAAATGCATAGCAATCGATTGTGTTCCTCTGATAACGGCTCACTCTCTCATGTTTACTGTAATACGACTTCATCTATTGGAGTTTTTTCATAGACAGAGGCACGTTTTACACATAATAATATACCTATTTTCAAATATCTGAGTGTTTTAAAAAGCATGCCAATTACAGGCTAGATCAAACTGTCACAAATGCTAACATAACATGCCCATTTACATTTGATAGTTTTAATTATTTATATACTTGCATGGACAGATTCGCATGTTTTCAATAGCCATACCAATTATCAATATTGCAACTGGAACAGAGGTGGAGGCTTCCATTTACAACTGGATGACAACTCATAGGGCACCTATAATAATAATGATTGACAGAGCAGCTCATTTTGAATCCGAGTTACTCGATAATCCACCTTTACTCTCTAACAGAATAATGTACTCAGCATATCATCCTCAGGCTAACGGAATAGTAGAAAGCTTCTAATGTGAGTTAAGAATCAAACCAAATTCACACTCATAGTTACTCAGATGGTCTGCAGGATGCATTTGTCAGCTACTTTACTCTGAGAATCCACAACTGTTAAAAATTGCTGATACTGATTTAATATATATGTCATCAAAAAGATGTATGCCGTGTGCAACCGAATTAATAAAAGATCGTTATGACTATGTGAGTAGGTAACAGTTACGTTAGAGATCTTTTCGCACTACAGCTGATCAAGTGGAAACGAGAAGTTCTTGAGCAGCTGCGTATTTGAGTGAGGTAAGTGATATGAAACTGAAATTCGGAGTAAAACAGCAACAGAATAGCATGGTCAGGTTTGAACATCTATGTTGCAGTGACTGCCAATGTCTGTACAAATGAAGTGCAACTACGAAAACCGTTAAATTACGTTTACACATCTGCCCTGATAAAACAAGCACTTATCACTTTCAGTTTTCAATTATGAGAAATATAGCCGATTTCTAAAGCTCAATGTCCGTAAACCGAGTCCCTCAGGAATCTGTAATTAGAAAAGTCATACCTTCATTTTATAAACCCTGGAAATCGTATCCACTAATTTCACTATTGCCAGCCAGTACTCGGCACGACTACACTTCTAATTCTTCGTTCAGTATACCAAAAGTGACAGTGGTAATATAGCAAGACATACTGAGATATCAACACAATATGAACAATGCAAGGATGCCGAAAGTTGCTTAGAAAACCCATAACGCTTGCCTTATCGGGCATCCGCTTAATGTTAATAATAATAATAATAATATTATATTATCTATTCTCAAATAACTACGTTAAAAGAGGCACGCCAGTTTACAGGCTAGATCAAACTGTCACAAAAGCTTCCACATTTAAAGCAAAAGTTATCGCAGTGAAATTAGGTATAAGTGTCAGTTTCTGATAGCACATTTACAGCATGTCACTGACAGAAACAGTATGATACAACTACATTTTCAATACAAGAGTATAAATAAGGAAGGTGCACAGTAGGTTTCTTGGGCGCTTTGCTTAGATCAAAAGTGAATTTGTTGGGAAAGGTCAATTGGAACGCGCTTGATACAAGTTATTATCTAAACATGCTTGTACATAGGGTGCATGTTCCCTAGAAGCACCATGGATTACCAACCCTGAATGGGGTTCTGAGAAGGAAGAAAAAAGAGAGAGAGAAAAATGCAGCAGATTGCTAAGTGTATATATATATTAATAATAATTTCTCAAATAACTACGTTACAAGAGTCACGCCAGTTTACAGGCTAGATCAAATTGTCACAAATGCTTTCACAATCACTGTAAAGTTATAGCAGTTAAACTAAGTATAAGAGCCAGTTTCTGATTGCATATTTACACCATGTCACTGACAGAAACAGTATTGTACAGCCTCATTTTCAATAGTAAGTACAAATAAGGAAGGAAGGTGCACAATAGGTTCTTTTGGCGATTTGCCGAGATCAATAGTGAATTTGTTGGGTAAGGTCATATGGAACGCGCTTGATACGAGCTGTGATCCAGACAGTCATGTACCTAGTGTAGAATTCTTTTTGAATGTTTTGTTTTTTGGAAAATCCCTCCATGTTTACATATTTTTGCTATGACATGATGGACTTTTTCTCTTGACATTTTTGGTATTTTATGTGATTCCAATTTGAGATTTTATCATTGTATATTGTTATTCTTTCTATATTTGTACTTAAATGGAAGTTTTTGTGTTTGCTTCTGAACTGTACATATATTGTTTAAATTTGATATAAGATGGCTACCGCCACATTTTTGGATGGACGCGGTGGCTGCTGGACTTAGTGTCACTTACTAGTTATTGTGTTGGATACTCTGCGGAGTAATTTAACCCTGGAAGAAACACAAATACCGTAAGACTCTGTATTTCCATTTTATAATAATAAAGAGACGTTTTCTCCTAGAATTTTGTCCTTTTTTGAATCGATTGGGACCCGCGACTAGGAAAACGTACAGGAGTGTTTCTATAGGAAACAATTGGGACAGCCACTGTCGAAATAAATCTACACCTAGGGTGCATGTTCCCTAGAGTAGCCAAGGATTTCCCACCGTGAATGGGGTTCTGAAAAGGAGAAGAGAGAGAGAAAAAGGCAGCAGTGTGGCAAGTGTATATATATAACCAAAGCACTACTTAACCTGTCTTGTTGAAGTAGTCAATACAGTAGTAAGTCAAGATAACATTCATACTGACCACTTAAATTAAAGTAAATTATGGGAATACAAGAATATAACGCACCGATAAAGGAGTACAGCAAAAAGAAGGGAGAGTTGTGCAGTGTCAGGTGGATAGAAGAGAAGTCGAAGTAAAAAGCTGGATTTATGTACGTTGAAATCGAAATTCTAGTTGAAAGAGTAGAGTTTGTAAAAATAAAAATTTGACGAATAAAATCTCGCACTGTCTAACTGTTTTTTTTATTATTGAATGCCAACCTCTTAGTCATACTGTTAGCGCCTGAGTAAGAATGTTGCAGGTGTCTCGACAGAATAGCGACCTTAGCATAGTTTTGGAAACATGAACCACAGAAGTAGCAAGCGTATAAGAGCAACCTCAGTGTTACTGATTAGTCGTCTCATCAATCTAAAGAGCCGAAAGCAAACAAAATGTTCTGCCCCACAAACATGGGTTGTTTGAAGTTATCGCCCATACCATCAATGTTTGCTGGTCAGTAACTCCACCCTCCCTCCTTTTGTGTTGTTAGGCTCATGTTAAATGTTTAAAAGAAGCTATTGAGTTCTACTTGGTGTTCTATGTCTCGCATCCTGTTGAGAAACACTATTTCTGCAAGTTCCTTTCACAAACTCGTCTGGCTATGACAACTTATGAACTATTGGTTAGGCATCAATGCTATACAGTTAACAGTTATGGAGAAATAGTAAGAATTTTCAAACAAGATATAAGCATTTAGAATGTAGTGGGGAAGATGTACTTAACTAGCTAAGCAGGAGATATAAAGAGTATCACGGTTAAAAGCGGAGCAATAGATAACACTAAGGGGCCAAGGTAAGTCAATAGCGTGTAAGTGAGAACAGTATAATTGATAACAGGCAATGTGAAACTCACACAGTTGTAAGTGTTGATAAGGTTGCGCCCAGGAGAGTAGAGTGCATTCTAATCAACCAGTTTACAGTTGAACAGTGTCGATCGACCTAGTTAGTAGAGTAACCTGTCTATTTCAAATAAAAACTAAAGAGATTTATATTCAACCAGAAAAATTAGTGCTACTTTGGAGTGTAAAAATAACTAAATAAGACGCAGCACTGAGTTCATTGTGTTTAAAGTGTATGCAGAGCTATTAATATGAAAGCAGGGTGCGAGTGAGTTCACGAGCGCAGAAGAGTCAGTGCAACTGAGAGCATCATTAAGAAGCTGAACAAACTCATGTAACCCACTTGCCATGTGTATTTTAGAGGGAAGCCTATTCCATATAAGTGCATACTTAGAGAGGAAGAAGTTTTCTCAAGTTTTGGATCTATACTTCTCAAGTTTGACCGTAGATACTTTATCTCGAAGGTTATGTGTACAAGGGCCATGGATAAGGACTAAACTGCAGGAGGAATATGTGAGCTTGTGCAGGAGTTTAAAGTAAAGGATCAGATTGGACTTAAGCCTTCTTTTCCATAATGGATCGAGCCCGAGTTCAATACATCGGGTTGGATAGTCAATGGGTGAGCTATGATTTAGGACTTTACGAGTAAATTTCCTTTGTATTCCTTCAAGCTTCAACATATCAGACAGGCGTACGTTAGAAAATAAGAAAGAGTAGTATTCAGCAATAGGTCTTACGCATGTTTTATAGAGAATTGTTCT